CGTGCCTTTTCTTCTTAGTCTCCATGAGTAATAAGGAGGGACAGGTTAAGTAGACCATCTAAAATGGGGTTAGGGGGTGAATACCATGTATAATTTGTACAGCCCGAAAGACTATTTTTTCAACCTATAGATCCTGGTCACTTTTCTTAAGTAAGATCCTTTTTCAAGAGGTCACCAGAGCTACAGAGTGCAGATGACTTACTCATAAAGGAAGGTGAGAGAAAGAGCCTTTGCTCCAAGGTAATGCCAATAGAAATGATTTTAGAAAAATGTGGGCATGTCTCGGGAAAAAAGAATAGGGCCAGTGAATTTCTGATAAGAGCACTTGCCTTACTCTGAACCATTGTTCTATTCATTGTTGGAATGGTCTTGAGGGCAAAGTGGTCTCTTTTTTTAGCAGTATCCACAGAACCTGCCACATTGTAGCATTTAATAGACTTTAATTAAGGGAGATGGGGCCTGATCCGAGGCTCTGCTGCAAAAATACTTCCATTATATGATAGATCATTTGAATATTTTGAAACAAGCAAAGTAGGCTCCAAATTAGAAAGACTTGGACTTTGTGCCAACAGTGGTTTGTCTAGCTATTTTCAAGGATCTGCTCTTTCAAACGGGACTTTGAAGTACCTTTTCGTGTTCTAAGACAAACATACTCTAAATCAATTGTTTTGGTTGAGAAAGGAACTATGCTATAGCCTGTAGACTGGCCAATAAGAGCTGGTGGATGAATTAGGAGATACACAGGGCCCTCTTGAATACAAACTCAGGAATGAAACTGTTTGTGTTGATGTCATAGATGGGAGAGTCAAGTCAAGGACCTAGAACTAGGGTTGATGCTGGCTGTGTGACCTTGGGCCAATTTGTTTTCTTCAGAGGACCTCAGCTCCCCATCAAACAACTGAAGGGATTCTAATACTGTAGTAGGTGGGGTGAGATCAGCACTTGTCTCAGTCCTGAGAAAACTTGTACCACCTATGAGGGAAACAATTTGGCAAGACATAGACTGCCATGAGATTATTCACATCCACGGCTATAATCATCCCATCCCTGAGTATGATTTCAATGCAATGATCTAAAGAATAAAGAAAATCTTAAAGCTCTCTGTGAGAATATGTGTATTGTAGTAGTGTTTATCATGGCAGGATATTGGAAGCAAAACTCACTGTCCGAATAAGAGAATAATGATTAATTAAATGATGCTGGATCCGGATCTTGGGGGTCTAGCTTAGTAGTAGAAAGCCTGTTCTGCACAAGGCACTGGATTTGATCTCCAACCCTAGTGGAAAAATATATTGCAGCGAAGACATGAATCTTGCAATTACCAGTAGGAAAACTGTTAAATAGCTTGAGGGTTTCTGTGATGGTCAAAATCAAAGTAAAAAGGTAGTATTTAAAACTCCTTGTAACTGAATGATGAGATGAAAATGTGTTCTTGCAGAAAAAGACTATAATGAGCAAACATGGGCACTAGTTTTGATGGTGAAATCATGGAGCTACCTCTTTTCATTTTTTCAGATCTTGTGCTCTGTTGTTATATTATTATTTTTTGTGTAACAAAAGTAGCTAATAGGTGAGGAAATATAAATTATGGACCCAGAGGCTGCTTTTGGGATTAACAATACCCTGTAATGTTTTGATTGGTGCCCACATAGACTGAGGTCCTTACTCAACTCTCTGGATAGCTCCATGTTGCTTAGCAACCACCTGCTCAATAGCAGTTGCTAAGAAACCAGAGATAAAGCTGGATTTCTGAATACTACCCCATTGTTTATTGTACTGTCAACCTCTTTCCCTCAGTTTGCCTCTAGCAGTGCAATGTTTTCTTCTCTTGTTCCTGCTTTCTGAGTTTGCAGCTGCCTGGGGCTAACCTGCCTACAGTGTTCAATAACCCACAGTGCGGGTTATTGCAGGTTCTGTAGGAGCTGCTTATTTCCCCAGCTTCAAGATTAGGGCCTAGACCACAGTATGTACTTGGCTTAAAGTTGAAGTCTGTGGTTATCTCATCATTGAGATAAGTGGGGAGTGTTGCTTGTAACCTCCACAAAATCATAGACCCTGGAGACCCCTCTCCCCCTGGGGAATGATTCCTCCAGGAGAGTTACTGAGCTTATCTCAGGAATGCCACCATCCTAGCAAGTACTGGGCCCAAATGAAGCACAAAGTCCATGACTCTTGTATGAATTATTATTATTTGAAATACTGGGGATTGGACCCAAGGCCTTCACAGCGCATTTTGAATTTTGAAGTAGGTTTTCTCTAAGTCACTAAGTTATCTAACCTGGATTGAATTTGTGATCTTCCTCAGCCTCCCACCTGCTGGGATTATAGTTGTGCAGCTTCAATAAATTCTCTTGCAAATTCATTCTTGAGTGAATTTTTCCAAGTATCCCACTTGAACAAAAAAAAAATTAACCTAGGGTGAATTCATCCAGACACAATGATCCTGAAAAACTCCCCATTTTCAGCATTTGTTGAGAAGGGTCTTTACATCCCTATACTTCTCATTCCATCTCCTCTACCACACTGCTCCACCATCATCTTCATCTTGAGGAAGTTGCTCTTCCATCTCTAGCTAATCCTCAGTGACTGCTCTATGCAGGAAAAAGATGGAAATATGGGCAAAGGTAGCCATAAATGCCAGAGAGGCCAACCAGAGAGGCCCTGGGCCTGGAAGGACCTTCTGGGAATAACAGTGGACTTGTTTCTGTAAGTCTGGCTCAGCCATAGACTTATTCCCTGCCCTGCAGAGGTTTTCTGAAATGTATTCTGATTCCATAACTTGTTTCTGTAAGTATGCCTTTCTGAGGGTTCTGGCTTGGTGCCTTGGGCAGCAGACCAGGCTCTTCAAAGTGTGTAGATCACTGTACAACAGAGGTGTTACTGGAGGAGAGGAGGTCTGATATTTCTCCTAGAACCAGATAGACATGGACAGCTTGTCCTGGAGAGCTGTCCCCTGAAAGCCAAGGGAGAAAGCCTCATTGTAGGGTGCCTGTGAGGTGTCCCTGGATATGAACATACAATGCCCATAGAGACTTCTTTCCTAACTAGTCCTCAGTGGTTGAGCTGTCACAGCACCCCTGTACCTCCACCCCACTTGATGTGAGTGAGTGAACCTGGCCTATGCTCAGCCATGGATTTATTCCCTGACCTGCAGATGTTTTCTCTCTTTTTTTAAACATTTATTTATTTATTGTGTGTGTGTGTGTGTGTGTGTGTGTGTGTGTGTGTGTGTGTGTGGCCAGCTCAGCCCACCAGGGGGCGGGTCTGGCTGGCATGTGGTGCTGGGGATCGAACCGCGGTCCCTGTGCTTTGCCAAGCTTGTTCCAAGTAGGTGCTTTAGACCACTGAGCCATCTCACCAGCCCCTGCAGATGTTTTCTGAGATGTACCCTGATTCCATAACTGGGGCCTAGATTGGCTTTTTTTTTTTTTTTTTGTCATTCTGACACAGGGTCTTGCTGTGTAGTTCAGTGTACTCATGAACTCACTTTGTAACTCATGTTGGCAGATATGTGGGTTCTTTAATCAGACTTCATATCCCTCCTTTTCATTGTTCCATCACCCAATCTTACCCTCTCACCCCACACTGATACTACAGTGGAAGTGAAAAGTAAAGAATGGATACTCAAGTGCAGTGATTATGGGGAGGGACATAAAAACAAGGTGTGATTCTGAATCTTGGGCAGAGGTAGGATAAGTGATGCTTTGCTCCTGTGCGTGGAAAACATTTATATGAATGTTCAATGGCAGTGAGTTCAATTCTAAGATTATGATTCACTGGGGTCAAGACTGTGGCTTAGTAATCTGGGAATTTTTCCTATCCCTGACGCTTGTATCACTGATAATACAGTGCTCAGAGAGGCAATTAAGAGAGGTGGCTAAAGAGAGTTCCTTTCTTGTTTTTCTTGCTAACAAATCCTCACTTAGACCCAAGGTGTATCACACTGAGTTGGGAAGGAATTGATGCACAGGTCAGATGTAGTTTCTAGAGCTTGCAATCTAGTTGGAGGTCCACAAATGAAGCAATGGGGCAATACCAGTTGTTGAGAACTCTGATGAGGCAAGAAGGACACATGGTTTGCAAGAGCACAGGGCAGTGCTTCATAAACTTGATGGAGGGCACAGAGTCACTCTGCACAGGAAGAGATGACTGTGATAAGACCTAGACCCCATGCCCCCTCCAGCCTCCTTTTCATCTCTCTCCTGGCCCCAGGAATTGATCTAGACTCTAGAGACAACAAAGTACACAACTAAACCATAGAAAATCCAAGTACCACATGAATGGTGGAGAAGCCCACCATTTGTACCTCTTCTTCCTTTGTCATGACTGAGAAAAGGATAACCTCAACTGCTCTGTGACATGGCCAGTTACATGAATCCTTAAAGTATGGAATCTAAGTAATGGCCTTATCCATTCCTAGGCAGTTATTGTTTAGGTCAAGACATTGAAATACCCAGTATGTTGCTGAACATGAACAAACTAACCCTGGCCCAGAGTCAAATATCAAGAACCACCTAAAAAATTTCATGACTCAATGCCCTTGTATGGACACAATTGAGTAGAATATCTCACTTTTCACTGTCCATCTATAAAACAGTGATTCCCCTTTGGTTTTGACACTGAACTATTATGACTCATCTGTAAATTCTTCATTTTTATTTTGGACAATTTTTTATTGTTACATTCATTTATATTTGTAAATAATTTATTTTCAATTTGCAATCTATTAAAAAAATTAAAATAAAAAAGTGATTCCCTCGATAATCAAGTTTCCCTACTAAGTGCTTTTGACGGATTCTGCTGTTATTTAGTGCATTATTCTTTTTAATTCCTGGGAATTCTTTGCAATTCCTGGGAATAGCCCAATCTTGGGATGGTCTGGACAGTCCCTGGTTAGAATTCCTCTACCATCACTTTTATATCCACTCCAGCTACAGGATAGCTGGACAGACTAAATAAATAAATTTCCCTCCTTCCTATTCACAAGTGAAGCACAATTTCCCAGGATATATATTTTTTTCTACTTGGTATCCAGGCAGAGATAAACAGTTCCATGTCTTTACCTACTCTTATCTGCATCATGGGACGGAGAGGGTTCTGGCTTGGTGCCTTGGGCAGCAGACCAGGCTCTTCAAAGTATGTAGATCACTGTACAACAGAGGCATTCCTGGAGGAGAGGAGGTCTGATATTTCTCCTAGAACCAGATAGACATCCCCCGAGATTCTGTTACTCATCCTGGACAGCTGTCCTCCAAAAGCCAAGGGAGAAAGCCTCATTGTAGGGTGCCTGTGAAGTGTCCCTGGATATGAACATACAATGCACATAGAGGCTTCTTTCCTAATTTAGTCCTCAGCAGTTGAGCTGTCACAGTCCCCCTGTACCTCCACCCCATTTTTCCCAGAGTTCCATGACCAGGTATGGATGGAACTCCTTTAGGGCTTGGTAGACTTTGTCTTTACAGGCTCGGTCCCAGGATTTGCTGAAGCCAAATAGTTTCCTCATCTGATCTGGCTTTGTGGCTTCAGCCCTCATGCTCTCGTACTGCTCTTCATTCAGCACCTGTCCATGCAGCTTGTCCAACACAGGGTCCACTGATGTCACTCGTGCTACTAGCTGTTCCCGGTGCTGATCAATGAAGTGCAGCAGTGCCAGGGCATTTGGAGGTGCAGGTGAACCTGGAATGAGCAAAGAAAGACTCCCACTATGGATCCTGTCTCTGCTCACACACTTCTAGTGCTTCATTTACCTCCTCTCATCCCTAACTACCTTCTACCTCTGGAAAGACAGGCTACCAGGAATGTACCAATGCCCATTTTCATGCCAGAATTCAGCTTTATATTTTCTCTGGCTGTGGAAGAGAAGTTCTGGCTAGAGCATTGAGGCTATGAGTAGGGATGCAAGAGCCATGAACAGGGGTGAGGAGACGGGAGGAATTTGCCTCTTGTCACATGCCTTTCCAACCCAATCCCTGGTGACATGTGCAGTGAGAGTCCTTTCTTGTGCCCTTTTGCTTCCCCCTAGAGCAGATCATATACCTATGAACTACCACTGTTTCTTGTGGTCTCTAAAAGCTGTTACTGACCTAGGGAAGCTGGATGGGCCAGAGTAGCTGCAGGTCTGAGGTCTCCTGGAGGAAAAGAATATGAAGAGACATTTGTAAGATCATGAATATGTGTGACATACCCAAAATCTTTCACATACTTCTGAGATTCTTTTACTCTGATAATTATCTATAGTCAAATTATGATAGAATTTAGAGTAAGGACCAGAAATATCATTATTAGGTATTGGAGAATCCTTTCTTTAGGCATATGGAAACTGAGGCCCTGAAGCTTTGATCATAGATTAATAGAGAGAGAAGGCATCTGAATAAGCAAAATAATTTCTGCTGCAATTTCTCAGACTTGGATTTAGCATGTCTTGGCTTGAACTGAGTCCCTGGTGGGGGAACTAATCAAGTTCCTTGAAAGACAGCTTAACCTATAGTCTGAGTTCAGCATAACCTAGCAGTGCCAGGACCCCAGTGGTGGTACTTTTTAAAAAGTTTTATTTTTTGGTAGGGCGAGGGTGTACCAAAGATCAAACTCAGGACCTAGTGCTTGCCAGATAGGTGCTTATGCCACTGAGCTATCTCCCCAGCCCTGGTGGTGGTACTTTTTTTCTTTTTTTTAACGTATTTGGTACAGGGTCTCACTATGCAGCTTGGGCTTGTAGTGATCCTCCTGTTTTCAGCCTCCCCAGTGCTGGGGTTACAGTACAGGTATGTGCCACCATGCCTGGACTCAGTAGCTGGCTCAGCACACCTGGGGGCGGGGCCAGTGTGGCATGTGGTGCCAAGGATTGAACCCTGGCCTCTGTGCTTGCCTAAGAAGATGTTTAGACCCCTGAGCTATCTCGCTGGCCCATGGTGGTATTTTTATTACAGGCTCCATTTGGATGCTGTAAGGGGACATTCCTTATGCTCCATTTCACTGGATTGTATTGGAGCCAATCCTAATTCAGGCTCACAATGGAGCATCTACTGAGGAAGGAGAATGGGTGGTCAAAAATTTTAAGACAAAAATGTAAGAGAAGGAACGGGAAGAAGTGGAAATGTTTGACTTGAATAGGAACATGATTCCAGAGTTCCAATATCTGAAGTCTTTTCTGTGGGAAAGAAGGTAGACTTCCCCAGGCTCCAAAGGAAAGAATTAAGACTATTAAAATGAAGGGGTCATCTGGTAATCTGAACAACTAATTTGAAGACAACACTATGCAATACAACAAATACTGCTGTATTAATGTTATTTTCTTTAGTGAAATTTTGTATCATTTCTATTTTTTTCTTTTTTCTTATCGTTTTGTATTCTCTTAAAAAATGAAGGGACCAATTTAACAAAAAGGAAAAGAACAATTATTGGTCATTTATTAAGGATTTTACTGCATAAGCGTGTCCAGACATCATTTTATTTAATCTTTCTAACAATTTGGTCAGTTAGTAATTACAAACCTCATTTGCAGATGAGGAACCACAGACTCAAGTAAGCTGAGAATTTTTCTCAGGACCTTCCAGTGAGTGAGTGAGTGCAGCAGTTGAATTCAAACCCATATCTGATGCCTGGTTATTTCTCTACCTGTGTCTGCTTCCATGCCAAGCACAAGTATAGACAAACTCCTTTCATAATACAGTAAAGCTTGTTTTATAGTATCTCAGAAGGTACGACATTTGTCCTCTGATATTGCCAAGGCTGCTTGTTCCTAGAAGGACTGATCAGGAAACTTTGTGGGGATGCTGCTCAACTAAGAGAAAGATTTTCCTCAGCCCTCAAAATTTTAAACTTGCTTTCCTGATGTCTACCTTGAAAATATTGTCTGATCCAAAACATACAGAGCTGACTTAATCCATCAACCATCGAACCCTCTACTGTTTATTTTTTTAAGACAAGGTTTTGCTATGTAGTTCAAGCTGTTGAACTCACTATATATCCCAAGATGGCCTTGAACTTGAGGCAGTTCTTCTGCCTCAGCCTCCTAGAGCTGGGATTATAGCACCACCATGCCCAGTTCTGCTTAGTCTTTTATTTACACTCATACCATGATGAGAGCAGGAGGCTTTGTAGATGTCAAAATCTCGTGAGGACATACCAGGGTGCACAGGAGAGAAAAATCAGTTCAATTACTATTCATATCAGCTGTCAGGTGATTTGAAAAGGACATAATTTCTCTGGACTACTTCTTCTTGCTAATAAATCACTATAAAACCCATGAAAAAGACAAAAGCACACACAGAGATTTGAAATTTCTTTCTTTCTTTCTTTCTTTCTTTCTTTCTTTCTTTCTTTCTTTCTTTCTTTCTTTCTTTCGGTCTCGCTACACAGATTGGACTCATAGTGATCCTCCTGTCTTTCAGCCTCTCAGCTGATGGAATTATAGGCACGTGCCACCATGCCCAGTCTCATTTGCCATCTCAGCACAACCCAGGGGTGGGGCCAGCAGGGCAGGCCAGATATCAAACTCTCAGCCCCTGCATCTGCCTAAGCAGGTCCTTTAATCCTCTGAGCTATCTAGCTGGCCTGAGTGATATTTGAACTTCCTTTCTCTTTTGAGCTGACTGCCTTGGGCTTTACCTGGTTTCAACAAGGCTTCCCACACTAGGATCTCATCTTTCTTGTTCCTTATTTGCAGCTGGATCTTTGATTCCAGATTGGCAGCGTAGATCTCAGAGAAGAGCTGGGGTTCTGTGGGGCTCCGATAGCAGAACTCCAGTTCCTAGAGACAGAAAGAGTCACAAGGTGAGAAGCCACATTTTTAAAGTCTTTCTCCACCTCACACCTTCCTGATCTTGCTTACCACCATGAAAACAGTGATAGCTCAGGTGTGGAAATCTGCTACCACCTTTAGACCATAAATACTATTTCAAACTGATGAGGACACGGTGCTTACCACATGCATAATTCTCTGGGGCTATCACAGCAGAGTTCCAGTTCATCAAGAGAACAACTGTTACATGTGAAAAGCCACTAGTCATAGTTAAGTGAGGTGTTTACCCACTTTATACCTTCTTGGCTCTGCTCAACCCCTAGGGATACAGCTCACCTCTTGTAGCAAAATCAGCTGCCAGCTTTACACCATTAATCCTAACTCTCAAGGCTGAGTCAAGGAGGATCCTCCATCCTCATCCCAAGTAATGTTCACATATTCTAAACCAGAGCTTTCTTTTTATGTCTTGAACTGGCTCCATCATCTTCCATATCTTCTTTCTTGCACCCAAGCCCTCATTTCTTGATCCCAAAGCATATCTTTCTAATGTATCATATATTCATCCGATTTCTAGTGGATAAAAATTTTCCATCTATTCCCTTTCCTGAATCAAATCCAAGATGGATCTCTGGGATCCCAACTATTTGCTGAACATACTCCTCCCCATTTTTTTCAAACTAAGTAATTGGGACTAACTTCTAGTGAACACTCAGATTCCCAATTTACATATTATCCTTCCTTTGTCTCCATATGTACTGCCAGTCCACCAAGTCCTGCTGCCTTTACCTCCAAAATAGGTTTTGAGCCTTGTTGCCAAGACTAATTATCTTTTGGGTGTGGTAACTATCTGTATTTCAGTTATCTGGAATTTACCAACTTTTCTCTTTCTGCATTGCTACTGTCCTAATTAAGCCACCATGACTTTCACCTGCGGTGTTGCAATAACCTTCTGACATGTCCCTGCTTTTACTGTTGTCTGCTTATTACCCCTTCTCACTGGATATTCAGGGTGTCTTTTTGAAAGTAAACAAGGTCTTTTGTCACTGTATTTCCGACTATAAAAGGCCTTGCCATTGTACTTAAAACAAATTCTAAACTCTACAGCAAGCTTAGCAGGGCCAATGAGTCCTGGGAAACTGCCTCTGGTCTGATCCCATCTTTTGCTGTAGTCATTAAACTATGCCATACTGATCAACTTGTTACTTGGAGGTGTCAAGCTGGCCCTGCCTCTATGCCTGTGTACAAATTCTTTTCTAAAATTAGTTTTATTGATGTACATAATGCTCACATTCATCATAGGGAATTTATGCCTGTGCATAATATATCTTAATTCCTTTTTCTCCATACTCCTCCCTTCTCTTCAATCCTCTTCCCCTCTCCGTTTACAAAACTTTATTGCTATTGTTTTTCCTCCACTCATGTGAATACATTCTTTTTTTTTTTTTTTTTTTTTTGCAGAACCGGGGATTGAACTCAGATTGTTGCATTTGCCAGTCAAGCGCTTATCCTACTGAGCCATCTCTCCAGCCCCTGTGAATACATTCTTACAGTCTGAAATTCTCTGCTACAAATCCCCATATGCTGAGTATTTCTTGTCACTGAGGTTTCAAATCAAGTGGTGTCTTCTAAGAACTTCCTTGAGTGAAGAAGCCCAGGCCCAATCACTCTCTCACATAGCTTTGGTTGATTTGTTTTGAGACAGAGTCTTCTGTTGTAGTGCAAGTTGGTCTTGAACTCATTTATGTAGGCCAGGGTGGCCTTGAAGTCTCTGTGATCCTCCATCCTCAGCCTCCCAAATGCTGGAATTATAGGCATGTACCACCACATGTGGCTCTGCTGTGTTTTACAGCAATTGGAGTTACAGTACTTGGTCACATGCCTTTAATTGTTTTGCAGACTCTATCTGCTATTATGTAAGTGGAGAGGTTTTTCTGTTGGGTTCGTTTATCTACCTTTACTGAAGCAGATCTAGTATGGATAAACATTTATTGAATAACCAAATCATGTCTCTCCTAATCTCTTATTGAAAATTAAAAATGCAAAAAGCCTCCAAAATAATCACCCTCAGGTTCATATTTCCCAAATCAAACCATCAACCTCCTTCTTCTTAACTACTGAATCTTGGTTCCATCTGGAGACACTAAATGAAATTATCAGGAATCCTTCAGAAGCTCTTGTTTTCACAAGTGTGTAACTTGTGCCAGAGATGAATTTTCTTATTTTTTTCAAAGTTTTTCCCTATCTTATTCTAGCACTAACTTTTTGTATTATTCCATTTTTGATACCTCGTGGAGCACTAATTTGTTCTCCATTAATTTCATGCTGTTATCTCTGATTCCTGATGTTTTTCTTCTACAATTTAAAGAAAAACAAAACTCACTTGTCCATTTCCTGCAGACTGTAGTACTGCCTCGAAGTTAACTGACTGTTGGACTTATTATAATAAGTCCTCCACTGTGTCCTGCAGATTAAAATCTAATACTTAGACATGGGGACATTTTCACTATGGTAAATGCCTCATGATTTCTTATGAGTGTTGCAAATGGGGCAATTTGTATCTAAGGAAAGAGAAAAAGAAAGAAAGAAAGAAAGAAAGAAAGGAAGAAAGAAAGAGAGGAAGAAAGAAAAGGATAAATAAATAAATATAGACTTAGGCTTTCTTCAACAGGTACATTCTGGGCTTCATAATCAAGCCCTGGTTGTGAGACCTGTTATAAAGTTTGATCATTTTATGGGTTTTGTTAATCGCTTCTGTTACCACTGTCTGATACATCCTGTGCTGTGCAGTACACGCTGCTGTGTAGCCACCGTCATGTTGGATGGTTCCATTGCTCACCTTATACTCGTCTAACTTGGATCAACTATGGGCTGCTATGAAGTGGATGCCATTTGGATTTGCCTAAGCAGAAAATCTGGGTACGTTGAAAATTTGATAACATGTATAAGTACTCAGTGGCTCAGAGTAACTTGCCTTTGGCTAAAACTGGGCAAGGTAGATAGTAACAAACAACAAAAAGTAGCCTCCACTTGCTAGGAACAGCTCTGAGGCTTACAGGTAGAGCTCAGTGTCATTACAAACTGATTTGAACTTTGCAACTAAGCCATATTTTCCCTTGTTGTACACAAACAGGAGATGAACTTTATACAGGTTACCAGGCAGGCCACAAAAGCCAAACACCCTACCACATAGTAAATGAGTTACTGCTATGTGTTTAGTAATATGATTTTATGTTTGCTTTCTTGGTGAAAAGAAAGCAAACATAAAATTTCTCTCATTGCTGAGACAAAATACATCATGCCCAAAATTAAGGAAGGAAAGGTTTATTTAGTTCACAGTTTGTGGAGGTTTCTGTGCATAATCAGCTGGCTCCCAGGCAGGCTGGTACATGGCACAGGGACAATAGTTCAAGGTGGCAAAAGACATCAAAAGGAACAAGAATGAAAGAGGAGAAGAACAAGCCACTTCCCTCCCCTATATCATAAGCAGGCTAGCACCTCCTTAGGGCAGGTGTAGCACTCACACCATCTCCTGAGTTCCTCCTGCACAGGATGAGGATGCTTGCAAATTGAGGACTCTGGCCTCCTGATGAATTGTTTAAACTTCTAAACTTCTCAAGTTGACACAATGTATCAATCCATACACTTGCTTTCAGTTGTCCTCCCTTAAGATTGTAGGGAGGACATAATAATCACAGAATTGACCCTATTGTCTGACAACACCCAACCCAGAGCAAGTCTATCTCCTTATTCTTCTTCCAAAATTACCCAACCAAGTCTCAAGTATTTTCTTTTTAACATTCCTTTGCTGAGACACCTTAAGTTTCTCCACGTTCCTCTGAAATTAGAAAAACAAAAACAAAAGCAAAAAACCAGAATGTGTTTGACTATCATTGTGTTCCCTGGGATGTTTTGACTGGGAGTCATTGATACTCTATACCCCAAATGCTTGTCTCTGCCCCCAAATCAAATAGTAGCATCCTTTCCATCTGAAAAAGTAATCACATAATCATCTCAATAGATGCAGAAAAAGCATCTGACAAACTCACTTTTATTACTTGCATTATCCATGCATGTAACCCCAGCACTCAGGAGGCTGAGGCAGGTGGGTTATTGTGAGTTTGAGACCAGCCTGGGCTACAAAGTGAGCTCAAGGCCAACCTCAAATCATAACAAGACCCTGTCTCAAAAAAGAAAAAAAAAAAAAAAAAGACAAAAGAAAAAAAAAATGGCCATACTCCCAAAACTGCTCTATGGATTTAATGCAAGTGCAATCAAAATATCATTAACATACCTCACAGATCCAGAGAAAACACTCCTAAAATGCAATTGGAACCAGAAAATATCTACAATAGCAAAACTAATTGTGGATGACAGAGGCAAGTCAGGGTGTATCACAATCCCAGATCTGAAATTATACTACAAGGCTACTGTAATAAAATCAACATGTCATTGACAAAAAACAAAAACAAAACAAAACAAAACAACAAGCCTGAGAATCAGTGGAACAGAAAAAAAGATGCACACTCACAACCAAACACACTCACATACCTTATCTTTCACAAAGGAGCCAAACAAGTTCACTGGAAGAAAGCTAGCCTCTTTAATAAGGGGTGCTGGAAAAACTGGTTTTCCATATCCTGAAAACTAAGACTAGACCCATGTCTGTCATCATAAACTAGACTAACTTCAAAATGGATCAAAGACTTCATTACTAAAACAGAAACACTGACTCTACTGAAAGACAAAGCAGATAAAAATATTGAAGACATAGGCAGAGACTTCATGAACAAAACCCAGACTGCATGGGAAGTACCTCAAAGAATCAACAACTGGGATCTCATCATATTAAAAAGATTTTGCACATCAAAAGAAATCACCAACAAAATGAAAAGAAAATCCACTGAATAGGGAAAAATTTTAGCCAACTCTCCCTCAGACAAAGAACTTCTATCTAGAACATATAAAGAATTGAACAAAACCAGGCCTTGAAATTCAAATATCTAAACCAAAAATGGGCATCTGAGATGAACACACATTTCTCAGATGATGAAATACAAAGGGAAATAAACATATGAAAATATGTTAGAAGGGCCAGGGAGATGGCTCAGTGGAATAAGCGTTTCCCTGGCAAGCGCAAGGGCCTGAGTTCAATCCCTGGTTCCGAAAAGAAAAAAAAAAAAAAATTAAAAAAGAAAACATGTTAGAACATCACTGGTCATTTGAGAAATGCAAATTAAGACAACACTGAGATTCCATCTCACTCCAGAAAGAATGACTATCATCATGAAATCAACCAATAGCAAATGCTGGAGTGGCTGTGGTGAAAAAGGAAACCTCTACTCTTGGTGGGAGTGTATATTGGTACAACCATTGTGGAAATTGGTGCGTGATTCCTTAGAAAACTAGGACTAGAGGTCCCATTTGACTCAGCTATTACCCTTCTAGATATGTTCCCTAAGAATTAAAAACATCAAGTCACAGTGAAATATGTGTACCCATGCTTATAGCAGTACAATTTGTAATAGCTAAATCTTGGAAATGCTCATCAAGCTAGGAATGGATGAAAAAGTTGTGGTATTTTTATACAATAGGGTACTACTTACCTATAAAGAAGAATAAACTGGAGACTTTTATAGGTAAATGGATGCAACTTGAGACCATATTTTGCTTATTATGTATAAAATCATATTATCTTACTAGTGTGAGAAACTGAACAAGTAAATAGGATCCAATATGTACTATAAATATTATGAATTGGGAAGAAACTTTTCAAAAGAAAAATACAATGATAGGGGAAAGGGGAAAGAAGAAAGAGAAAAAGAAAAAATTATATATGTATACACGAGATGGTTAAGACAGTTATAATGCTAGCTTCCCTTTGTTCCTTGAAAGGAATGTTTTGTGCTAATATTTAGACAAACTTATATACC